CATATTAATTCCCTAATAAGCATAATAATTCATAATTTTTTGGTTCTAATCACATTTCAATTAAACTTGGAGACATAGATTTTTCGTTACATTGCGCAGACCTCATTAGTTTTACACTCAAATCTGGTCATATTAATTTTCTGATTTGCATAATTAGTTTTCAGCTAAGTAATTTCGAATTATATTTAATGTGTCTCCAATACTCTCAGCACATGGGAGTTCTTTCTAAGCTTTCTTTGATTTTTCTAAAACTTTTAATTGTGTATTTTATTCATAGACATGGAATTACATTATTATTATTAACCCACTGAATGCCAATGTCAATTTCAAAAACCTTCCACAAAATTTTCCATTATAGCTTTTATCCATAGAAAATTTCAACTTTTGATCAAAAACTGGAAGCTACCGGTATGTCAAATTTTGTCTGTTTGGTTTTAATATTAAGATTGATTTCAGTTAAAATTACTGAAAATGTGAAAAAATTACCCCTTTTTGAGTGGGAAAATAATTTGGCTCTCAAAGGGTTAAATAATGTCCTAAGTTTTCAAATCATGAAAATAGCAGCAAAAAAAAACAAATTTACTGTATTCTCAATAAGCAATTTGTGATATTCTCATTTTATATACATGTACTATTAAAGCATTCTGTTTTTAAGAAGATTTGAGTTGAATTAAAGATTACGTCTTCTGTGCTGTGTGCTTTCATTGTAATGAGTTATGCCAAGAGAATACAGAGTACGCAAACAAAATTTGGTTCAAGGGATAATTTGTTGAGAACTAAGAGACCAAAATGTCATGGAAACTCGTCGATTGTGCGTTTTTGCACTGGTTTCTATGGTGAAATCATTTCTTCATATCTTGAAATAATGCTTAGTGGCAAAAAATCGTATATTATTAATTTGAATCCTAATATTTTTAAAACATTCTCCATTTTATGCAGGCGGAACTTCTATCCCACAATGCATTGCATATATGTGCAGTAACATGTTCATTGGCACAATGTTTGAGTTTGAATTTCCACTGATTCGAAAGCTCTACTCTGGAAACTCAAGGTTTTCCAGTTTTGCTGTAGGCATAATTTTTAATTGGTGTAATTTTTTTTAATTGCAGTTCGTAAGTTGTTACAAAGTGGTATGAGTCCTGATTTAACCAATGAGGATGGATTGACAGCATTACACCAGGTAAGGTCATGTGACTATTTTAGAAGCGTATCACTATAATAGTAATACACATAAACGACAATTATTATCTGATGGATTATCAAGATTTATTTTGATACACCTTTGTCATTTAGTTTAGTTCAGTAGAGCAAGTAAATGTCAAAATGCTTCCAATCTTGCTTTTGGCTATAAAAAGGCAATGCTAAAGGTTTCTTGCTTTTACAAGACAACATCCCTCTATTCTTAACATAGTCTTGTGATAAGTTATTACTAATACATTTAGGTAAATTTAATTCCATAGTGTTTTTTCTATTTTCTGTATTGATCTTTAATTCTTTAACTGGATTTCTTATATTGTCTTTAACAAATTAAGAAACATATCATGCTCGATTTGCTGTAAGGTACAGGTATCAATTTTCCCCTGGCTTAGGGGAGTTGACCATTAGAAACTATTTGAGAAAAACTGCAATTACTTTTACCTTCAGCTGCTAACATTGTACTGTACATTCTTTTATTTTTAGAATGTTGTTTCTGTTTTTGTTTTTTTTCTTGCTTTCTTTCATTAATTGTGTGTTTTGTTTAAATAAAGATTCCCTTTAGCCTAATGTCATTACCTGCTGAATCGACAAGGGAACTAATGACCTTCCAAACTTTCATGTGAGGGAATCAACTAGCCTGCCAGATTGATATATTTACCTTGTACAATGTTGTTTTTTATTAACTACGAAACTGTCATGAATCTTGGTAAATTATATGCTGCAATGCTATATTTGTGTCGATCTGAATTATCAGAATGAAGGAAAAAGCTTGCAGCACCACTGTCTGGTGCATGGCATTGTGAAGTAAATGCGGCCATAAATTTGCATATATGTCATACGGTGCATCGAGCAGCCGAGCCACGAATCATAACAATAAACCGGTTTCCGAGGTCTCAGTTGATATGTTAATTAGCCTGTCTTCTGATTGGTTGGAACATATTAGACATGTCAATCATTACAAGCCTAAATCTGGCCGATAATGTGAGGGCGCTTACACTGATGGCAAGTCTGTTGGGTTTTTGCGGTCACATGACCCCTCGTTTACTCAATTTATATTTATTTTTCAAGAATTTTTCACCTGAATCGCAATAGACTGCAAGCAAGTCTATGTCGAACCAGTTCTTGGGGTTAGGTGGATCCAAAACTTTTGTACAAGATGTGTTTCTTGGTGAACGAATAGATTGGTCAACTGTAGCCAAGACTGTTACGTGAGGCATGGAAATCGGTTTATCGACCTCGGCCTCTACCAGTTCTTGCAGTACCTCATCCGCTCACCTTCTTCATACTTCTTGTAGTTGATGGCACATACTCGGCGATCTGAACATTCACAGATGCATCACTTTTGCCACCTCTACAAATGGTTGAAGGAGTATTATCCATATTGTAGTGAAAATATGGGATAAATATTCAAGAGTCAAAAACACGTTGCTGGCTAAGCGAAATGGCAGCACTGACTGATTATGACAGACATGCGTGGAATTATGCAAATGTTGTGCCCACAAATACTGTGTTATGTAAACATTAAACATTTAGATTTTAGATATTTAGATATCTTCTTAATTTTTTTTTTTTTTTTGTCTGCAGATTTTTTTAAACCTTCCTCCCCTGTTTCAAATGGTCTATTCCTTATTAGACTTAATAAATCTTTAAACCCACAAGAACCAATTATGTGCAAGATTGGTTTCAGATGTGATTTTATTTCCTACTGTTGATTAAATCAGGCCGCATTATGGAAGCAGGATTGTCTTCTGTTGCAATTACTGTCCTTCTTGTGCTTTCCTAAATAACGTTCTCTATTCCGATCATGCATGCATCTTCTTGATTCTAGTCATGCATGTTCACTTCCCAGGGGTGCGATTTCTGGCTTCTGGAGGGCTGCCTTATTGGTGGATTACTTTATGCATGTGGTGTATCCAAGTATAACATAGACTTTAGTGAAAAGCATTTTGGGCGCCCTTTTCCAAATTACTTCCTTATTGCCTCTCTGTGCCTACAAATTTCAAAGGGAATATTTATGGCAAAAAAAATTAGTGGTTATAGTTATAATTAAGTAAATTTTAAATGTTTGACTGTTAGCTGCTCATCAACACAGTAGACATTGTTAATAGCCTTTTTATTCATTCATCTATATCATAGCAATACTTAACTGCATGTAATCTGCGTGTAGATGGCATAACTGTGATTGGAAAAAGATGTAAAAGGCAGAAACGTTTAGCATGTAAATTGACCATGCAATTGACAAGAGGGATTACATTAATTCTCAGAGTTGGAAATAACGGATATAAAATTATTTAAACATTATTGACTCGCACGTTTTTGCTCTTTCTTCAAAGTAAATCTTTCCACTGAAGATGATGATATTAATTATTCTTCTTGAAAACCACCAGCACAATTGTTTAATATCTTACATGCTAGTTTATCAGTTTTAATGATCACTGATCAGTTAACCAAACAAATACATCATCAACCACTGTATTCAGATAATCAAGGTTTGACTGTATGTACCTTAGATGGACAATATCTTCAATTTTTAGTACAAGTTTTTTGGTGAGCAAATTATATTTTTGATTTCTTGAAAACCACCAGTTGTATTGTTCCATTCAATGGATGCATGTGTGGAACAATAATCAGCTGCGCACTCAGCAGGGACAAACTGAAGAATGAATGTATTCTGCCTACTTGCCAGACTTGCAGTAAGTGTTGGGAATATTGTGTTCAGTTGGATGGGACGTATTATGTCAGGTCTTATGTGTTGTTCCTATTAGAGTTGTAATGTGTGATGAATTACCGCAGTATGACTGGAAGTTGCTGTAATTCACAGGCTATAAATAGGCTTTAGCCTTTTTGATTATTTTTGAAATAAATTGCTTGACATATAGGTGACTTGTTTAAAGTATTAAACTTATATGTGACTTTTTTTTCCCTTTTGACAAGTAAAAACTTTTGCTGTGTAAAATCTACTTGTTCATGGCCCGATGATCCCTAATCATGTAATCGCAAATTAAGTCGGAGTAGAGTGATCAGTGCTATCAACTTTGTTATTTTGAAAGTGCCTAATTTCAAAAACTACTAATTGCGTTGTATTGAAATCAGCACTGAAAATAATAGCACAGCAAGTGCACAGGTGAGCACATAGTAGCTTGCGGCAAGTATGCAGAGAGACTGTAAGAATGTAGAATAACAGTGATATTGTTGTAAGACATAGAATGAGGTTTTTTACAAAGAGTACGCCAGATTTGGAAAGCAAATGCCCTGCATACATGCATGGAAACAAATTAATTTAGGTTACGGTAAGACTCGCATCTCAGTTTGTGGTAATTGTGTTGTGGTGGTAATGACATGCTTGAATTTTCATGAAAACCATTATAATAGTTATTAATATGCTATAATTAACAATAATTTATTAATATTTGTAATATGCTAACTACATGTATAGTCAGTCACATGTAAACTGTCTACCATGAAGGTCAATTATTTTATTAGATTTTGGTTTACTTATAAATAATTTGATTGCTCATTGCGGAGATTTTGTAATGACATTACCATACACTGGTAGGCTTGCAGCCATGCAATCATGAAATAAAACCTGAATGTCATTATCAACAATGTCAAAGTTGTCAAAGTGACGGCTAGAATTAAAGTACCCAATGTTTTGCATGCTGGCTACATTGTAAATTAATTTATTGGAAGTATTACAATACAATACAGTAGCTATGTTTGTTATTGCATCTTATTGATTGACAGTTGAAGCTTATTGATGTGTCTGTTCATCAGTTCATGTTTTCATTCTGATTTTTGTTTTGACGAAATTCCAACATAGGCAATTTATTGTTGCTTAAACTTTTCACCACCAGCTCCCTCTTTTCATCACAAATTCTGCACTTTCCTTCAGAAGATTGAGACAAATATAGCCAAATTATTTGAATGAGTAAAGACTTAAAAAATTACTCAAATTTTGTCTGTTAGCTCTAAAATTTAGGTTCATTTCGACAAATATTACAGAGTATAAGAAAAAATGCAGAAAAATTTGGGTAAAAAGATTAAAGTCACGGTGACATATAATCCAAATTGTCAACTTTTTGGTGGCTTCAGAGGTGCATGATTTGTAGATAAGTAATGCTTACTTTATAAAGCCTGACTTGTATATACCGGTACTTAAAGGCAGAGGTCTGTTTGTAGTCAAAACAAGTCATATTTTAAAGCGAGGGAGTCGTCACCTGCACGTGCGTCAGATGCTCATAGCGTGTCATTGTTAACAAACAAGCGTCTACCCATGAGCCTTTGCGTTGTTAGCGTGTGTTATCGTTTCTTGGGACTCAATTCCAGCGTGTACGCATGTGACAACCCTCCCGCTTTAATGATCCTGCATGAAACAAAATATATAAATGAAATTTTAGTTATTTTTCAGTTGTATCAAAGAATATATGTCTTCTTTATAATTTTCTTTGGTTGTATGTAGCAATCCACGTTTCCCTCGTAAATCATCACAGCAAATGTGACAAATAAACATTTCATATTTATAATCCATGTTTTGATTGATGAATTGGTGACGTTTGCTGCACCTTATTGTGTGAGATGACTTTTAGTATTTCCATATCCATTATGTAGATACATGTACCATATTCTGATGACAACCATGTTTTATTGCAGTGTTGTATTGATGACAATGAAGAAATGATGAAAATATTGATAGACTTTGGTGCCAATGTCAATGCCAGAGATAGTGAGTTATGGACACCACTTCATGCTGCGGCTACCTGCGGGCATGTGCACTTAGCAGAATACCTTCTTAATAAGTAAGTAAAATGTATTTTATTTTATTAGTCCCCGTTCGAACAAAGTAAACGACTTATAATTCGGTGGCCGTCCGTGCGGAGTCATATCTTAGAATCCTTTGGGCCGATTTCGTTCTTTCTTTGCATGTGTCTAGTACTTTATGTGGGACATATGCACATGCAGTAGTTTAGTGATTCCATTCATAATGGCCGACTAGCAGCCATCTTGAAAATGTTGTATTTTAGACATGCTTTGTCAATTTTCATTCAAACTTGGTACATACTTAAAATGACTAATTTTCACTGGGTTTAAATTTCGCTGATTTACCATTTCAGGCATATTCAGTGGGTTTTAAATTCACGGTTTTATCATTTAGATAATATGTTCTATGCTAAATTTTACATATTCACTGGGTTTTAATTTAGCGCATGTTCCAGTCAGCAAAATAAGCAAAATTAAAACTCAGTGAATAGTTAACCCCTTTACAGTGGATTATACATGTTAGGATACATATCCATGACAATTTGTTTCAAAATCTGGTCAAGGATGGCCGATTGACAGCCATCTGACTTTTTGGCCTTACTACTATATTTCCACAATTTATGTACCATTTTCATTCGTATTTGGCACATACATCATACATATCAGTGTGTTTCAAAATCAGATCAAGATGGCCGAATAATAGCTGTTTTTATTTTTGGTCATATTACTACTACACAGAACATGTCTTTTGATGTAAATAAACAATCTGTTGTATACACCACTTGGAACTCAAGTTTCAAGGACACTCTCGCGACAACCCCTCTGCTGCAATATGACGAGTACAAAGAGAACTTTCAAAAATTTAACAGGGACTGTGTCATTTTCAATGACTTTTTTAATTTTATTTTTAAACCAAAAACCAAAACCAAAATGCACTTGGCACTCATTTCCAGATGGGTTTGAAAAAAGTACAATTTAATACAATAATCTAGAACTACATAAAAATTAATATTTGTATTTTTTGTATATTTTATTTCACCATAAAGTAAATACAATTGGGTACTTGCTAAATACATAATGCTTTGTCATTATGGTGTGGAACATGATAAATACATTTGTAGCTCAAAAAGAGCTACGATATAATAATTAAATAATTAAATATTTTAACACATTAAGTTGAATATGACAAAAATTGGCGTACGAATCTATTTGAATTACAGAGTTAATAAACATGACTATAAGGAAAAATTGAAACACAATCTATTTGATTAGAAAAATATTGCGATTTTTTTTAAATTGAGGTTGCTGAAACTACATTTTGAAAAAATTATTAATTGTAAAGATACAACTGTTTTAGTAATTTGCCGTATGCTAACACAAGGGCAATAGAATGTTTTCGAAAAACACAAATTCCCACCATGCTCTGGAAACTGTAATGAGCAACCTTAATACACCTCAAAAGATGTTACACTTCTATATTTTGATTACAACCAGATTAAGAAAACAAGCAATACGACCAAGAAGCCCTTGCTTCTTAGTAACAATATGCCAATTACAAGGAATGTGCAGTAACGGCTTTACACAATGTATGTCTGGCACTAAGCTTAAATACCTTGAGACTGTACATTTTTTATTAAGTCATGAATAGATAATGCTAGAAGTTCTTATTTTTACTAGAAAAATCATTACCGTAAAATCTGTATTAGAAGCCGCATCCCTAATAGAAGCCGCACCCATTCTTTTTGAACAACTGAGACCTAACAATTCACCGATTCTCATATGTGTAGATGCTCTAATAGAAGCCGCATCCCCTCTGTTGCATTGTACCATTTTATTAGAAGCCGCGGCTTTTAATACAGATTTTACAGTAATTTCTTGAAAATGATGAAATGTAGTGATAAACATTTACGTACTATAAAAAAAATGAAACTAACAATTCTTAATGCAGTGATGATCATATGGTTTGAATTTTCATGGTCAACATTTTTATTTCAACTTGAAAACCATTAAAATGGGTCTGATTTTAATTAAATCTTAAAGAGCAGTGGTAGTTGCATAGAGCATGTTCATTACATGCAAATAAACAAAATGTACATTACAATCATTGTCTACCTCGCTGTAAGACCTATATCGAACATGGTGTGACACGACAACACTAGCATTTGAGCTGCTAATGTTTTTTCCCCACGATACAATGCATGAAACATACCGGGTAGTTATAATATTTCTGCTTCACCCATGATACTCAGAATCTATAATACACATACAAATCCATAACGGCAACACTTTCAGTGTAAGTTTGTCCTGTCTCTTATGAAAACAAAAATAGCAAAATTGACCATTTTATTTGAAATTACACGTCTTTGTGTATTTTCAGTGATTAAATGAACATGAGTATACAGTCGTATTATTTTTTTCAACTATAATTGAAATATCAATAATTGGAAGTTGGAAATAACTGGTCTTTCTCCTCACACTAGTCCCGAAGTACAAACATGAATGACGTCTTTACATGCACGTCTCAAAACTACAGTGTCAATACATGCTTCAAAATATTTCAGACAATGTCACTCATGCAAGTGAATTGAATTTCATTGATGTTATAGAATACACTGCAGATGGATAAGTCCTATTGCATTTAAATGAAGTCCTCTGAAACTGTATCCCGGCTTTCACATTTGATGTATTACACATGTATATTAGATGTGCTTTCCTAGCATCATTAAACCAACTGCTCCAATATATAAAACAAAATAGTTAAATTTTGAAGGAGTTGAAATTTATACCTTCAATATCCCAATACTATGAGATCAGAAAGTGTTAACCGATTTATGACTATAACTGGTTCTAGGAGGCATACCTCTTAAATCAATGAATTACTAAGATTGCTGTATTCAGTGTATTTGACGTAAAGGAATAGAAGCGTGTTAATCAGAGTAGCACTCCAGATTCGCGACGTACGTGTTATACCGTAAAGTGGCATTTAACGGCCGCACTTTGACTTAAAACTACTAATTGGCTGACTAAATTCAAATAACGTTCAGAATTTGAAGTTAATATAAGAACTATTTGTTATATTGCGTATTAGATTTCTAATATTGTTATAAGTGGCTTTGCCGTCGTAAGAAATGTCGGCAGTGTGTTTGATACAAATCAATGTTGACTCTTTAAGCTCAGAAAATCTTATCTGTCACATTTGTCATGTTCCATCATATTGATAATGAATCCTGATGTCATTGAACACCGCCTGCTGAAAGTATTCTCGGATAACAGAAATAAACTGGGGAAAAAGTGTAAATACCTGCAAGATGTCAGTTTGCAAATAAGAGGGAAAATGTTACACAGTTGAATAATAAATTACTCATGAAGTAGAATATTAACATATTGCTTGTTGACAGCATTTTTCCCTGTTCATTTTGGCTGTCTGTGGAGACTTTCCATAGGTAATGTGTTATTATGAGGTTATTACGAGAATACTTCAAAGTATGCACAAATACAGTACAGCTGGAGTATCGACCGACACGTAGCGAAGGTCAATGCGCGGCGTACTGTCTGAGTGCATACTGTGAGGTATCTTTGTATCCTTATTATTATACATCTTTTCCTTTCAAGGATACACCATGAGAATGCTGAAATTCAAAATGTTTAGAACAGAATAAGCGAACTACTTTGCGTGGAGTTCGGTCAAACTCTGGCGGCAACCAAGTTTGTTTTTATTAGCTCTGCTGTCGACTTTGTCGAGCGGAGCTTATCATATGAGTGATTGTCCGTCGTCGTCCGTGTCAATGTTTTACTTTTTCGACTTCTTCTTGAAAACTACAAGCCTGAATGCTTTGATACTTGGTGTATATGTACCTTGGGTAGACCTCTCTTAGGTTTGTTCATTTCATGTTGATATCTTCAATTCTCTAATTTTGGTGAATATTTTTGTCATTTTTGGTAAAAAGTGATACTGTGGAATACTTTATTTTCGCTGGAATTAATTTTCGCTGAAAAGGCTTTTTGGGCCTTTTGGTTGGAATTTATTTTCACTGATTTTTGATGAGATTAATGTGAAATATAGGAAAAAAAGTATATTCGCTGGATTTTATTTTCACGGAATCATCCCTTCAGCGAAAATAGCGAAAATAAATTCCAAGCGAATTCTACAGTATTTTCGACTTCTTGTTAAAAACCGCAAGTGCAAATGCTTTGATATTACATATATAGGTACTACATGTGGACCTCTCTCAGATTTGTTCATTTTGTAATGATATCTTTAATTCTCTAATTTTGGTGAATATTTTTGTCATATTTTCGACTTCTTGTTAAAAACCAATAGTTCAATTGCTTTGATATTACATATATAGATACTACATGTAGACCTTTCTCAGATTTGTTCATTTTGTGATGATATATTCAGTTCTCTAATTTTGGTGAATATTTTTGTCATTTTTGGTAAAAAGTGATATTTTCGACTTCTTGTTAAAAACTGTAAGTCCGATTGCTTTGATACTATTCATATTGTTAGCTCCGCTGTCGACTTTGTCGAGCGGAGCTTATCATATGAGTGATTGTCCGTCGTCCGTGTCAATGTTTTACATTTTCGACTTCTTCTTGAAAACTACAAGTCTGAATGCTTTGATACTTGTTGTATATGTACCTTGGGTAGACCTCTCTCAGATTTGTTCATTTCATGATCATATCTTCAATTCTCTAATTTTGGTGAATATTTTTGTCATTTTGGGTAAAAAGTGATATTTTTGACTTCTTGTTAAAAACCGCAAGT